CTCTCCATAAGGAAATATTGGGATATTAGAATGCAGCAATTAACTTATCTGTATTAAAAATTATTAAATGCAGTTAAAATCGCCAATTCGGCAATTTTCCCACCTAGAGGGAAGCATTCAAAATCAATGAATAATTCCCAATTTTTGCAAAATTTTATTAAGCCAGATTTTGCATCGTTTGTGTCAGTTTTTAAATGTTAAAATAATTAGATCACAAACGCTTTTTCTTTGCAAAATTGTGGTTTATCTTCATGTATATTTTTACACCATTTTCTGAATTAGCATCGAGGGCGCTGGTTAAGGGTAGACTTAACCGCCATCTGTTGCAAAGTTATGAAGATTAGTTATGAAGATTGCTTTTGTAATTGAAAAAAATTTCGAATGCTGTGAAGTATTTTATCAGTTTGAATAAAAAAAAGTGATTCAAACCAGTTTGAATAAAATGTTAAAATAAAATTTTTACTACAATTTTCAACAATTAAGAAAAACTACCATCTTAAATATGGAGAAGTTGATAAATCTCCAAAAAAAACTTATATTGTGGAAATGTTCGCAAGAAATTAAATGACGCGAATGAATTAATAAGTTGATATTAGTAATAATCCGTTTAATTAATAATAATAATGATCCGACTAAAATTAAAATTTTATTTAATGTTATAATTACTTTCATGTTTCTAAATTATTGCTGAATATCCGTTTGTATTAAAATATAAAGTTAGAAGAATGTAAGCTCTCATTAAAATAGTAAAGCTTATTAGCAATAATTATAAATTGTATTTAGTTTGAAAATTTTTTACTCAGTAATATATATATATAAATATATAAATGAAACTTTTTTCTTCTTAACTTTCTTCGTGTTTTCTTGTATTTATTTATTTTGTTATATATAAATGTATCTTCTAGTTCCTTTATGTGTTCTAGTTCTTATATATGTCTGCTTGTTCCCTTATTGTTATTCTGATGCCCTCCAGAGCTAGACCACGAATTATGAGGCCTGTTTTGATTTATCTGTCCTTTCATTCCTTAGGATCCCTTATTGCCTTGATCCCACGCTGGGATGCCAACTGGGGGTGACTGGTCAGATCCTTTATTGTTACTTTGGGTTGGAAGTCGCATAATGTTTGACCCATCTATGCCAATACCTGAACCTCGATGAAGATTTGAGTTACGGTCATAGTGAGAAGCTGTATCACCGCAATTAACGTTGAATCACCATTCGCAAACAAATGTTTCCTGGTTGATTATCGCGCCAACAGGACATAGGAAAGAATTTTGCCTTTCTCCAGCTTGACATACATGAAAGACCTGAAAAATAAAAATATTAAAATGTTAGAAGCTCATACGGAGGGAAGTGAGAACTTAAATTCTTCTTTTTTTTCAATGAATTATTCTGTATTAATTTAAAATAAAATAAATCTTTTTATTGTTAAGTGCAGAAATCCTTTTTTACTGTCTCATTATGAAGATTAAAGTTTGACATTTCATAGCAACTTTAATATATGTCTGTCATTCCCCTAACTGTTAGCATTAGTATGACAATCACAATTAAAAAAATTGCAATTTTTCTAACTTCTGAAATATTGAAAGTCTTAATAGATAACATGAGAATTTAAAGCGTGGCACACGAAAAAAATCTTACGAATTTTGTAGAGGGATTCCACCCAACAATTAGTCTGGCGATCCAAAAATTATTTTGTTTGCCCTTCAGATAGAACTAAAAATAACAACTCCCCACTTGCTTACGTAGTAAAAAAAAATTGAGGATTCAAATAAACAAGAGCATATTAATGTAATTTGCATCAAAAAATAATAATTGTAAAACGGTTAATAAGATCAGAAACCGATTTAAATAACTTTATTTTAAAATGTAACGTAGAATTACGCTATTCTATCAATAATTATAATAATGGCATGATGCTATTACTCGCAGCTAAACCATAATACTTAAAATATACCATTATCAAATAATTTTCTCCGGTATATATCGTTTTCAAGGGGCCGTTCGAAAGTATCAGTATTTAAACGGCTTAGTATTGGTTCTGTTTAAATCATCACGACATATAACATTATAATATTTTATATTTATATTGGCATATTTGGTACTTATTACATAACCCTTCGACATTTAAGTTTTGTAAAAAATATATTTGTCAGTGACAGCCAACTATAGCCGAAATTTAAAAAAAAAATTGAATTCATATTAGAACTTGATAGGAATTTTGAAGAATGGCCATTTCTCTATATAACCGTTAAGTTACTATTAAAATATTTAGAAGTGGAAGAACAAAGTTCTTTTGTTCTCTTTCATTTAAATAATAATAAACTATATTTGTTAAAACAGGAAAAATATTTTCTGAAACCACGGAAAACCCATTGTAGGATACTTATCAAAACTGCACCAATTAGTATAATACCAGTAGTACATATTACCGTCAGGGATACATATAAGTTAAGCATCATCTGTGAATGGTGATTTTCAACGGCTCACCTAAGCAAAATTTTTTATTAACTTTGCTTTTTAGCGCATTGCTTATATTATTTTATTTCAATTAATACACATTATCAATATTAATGAAGCATTAGTGTCAGTAATAATATATCAATTTAAAATCAATAAGTATCTTTTCTCCAATATTTTTGTTATAATTTTGAGCAGTTTCTTACGTTAATTAACAAATAACCAACATTAATTAAGCATCATTGTCGTCATTGATAATATGACGATTTCTTACGCTTTTAGACAAATAAATAGATTAACTCCATTACTTTTGCTTTCTAGTACAAAGCTTATTTCTTTTATTTCAATATGCATATATGTATATTATTTAAATTAATTAAGCATTATTGGCATCAATAATAATGTGGCGATTTTNGGGGTCGTTCGAAAGTATCAGTATTTAAACGGCTTAGTATTGGTTCTGTTTAAATCATCACGACATATAACATTATAATATTTTATATTTATATTGGCATATTTGGTACTTATTACATAACTCTTCGACATTTAAGTTTTGTAAAAAATATATTTGTCAGTGACAGTCAACTAAAGCCGAAATTTAAAAAAAAAAATTGAATTCATATTAGAACTTGATAGGGATTTTGAAGAATGGCCATTTCTCTATCTAACCGTTAAGTTACTATTAAAATATTTAGAAGTGGAAAAAACAAAGTTCTTTTGTTCTCTTTCATTAAAATAATAATAAACTATATTTGCTAAAACAGGAAAAATATTTTCTGAAACCACGGAAAACCCATTGTAGAATACTTATCAAAACTGCACCAATTAGTATAATACCAGTAGTACATATTACCGTCAGGGATACACATGAATTAAGCGTCATCTGTGAATGGTGATTTTCAACGGTTCACCTAAGCAAATTTTTTTATTAACTTTGCTCTTTAGCGCATTGCTTATATTATTTTATTTCAATTAATACACATTATTAATATTAATGAAGCATTAGTGTCAGTAATAATATATCAATTTAAAATCAATAAGTATCTTTTCTCCAATATTTTTTCAATAATATTGAAGTATGTCAATTTGAAATGTTTGTTATGTCAATTAACAAATTACAAACACTAATTAAGCATCATTATCGTCATTGATAATATGACGATTTCTTACTGTTCTTCTAGTCAAATAAATAGATTAACTGTATTGCTTTTGCTTTCTAGAACAAAGCTTATTTCTTTTATTTCAATTTGCATATGTTATTTAAATTAATTAAGCATCGTTAGCTTTAATAATAATGTGGCGATTTTTTACGTTTCACCTAAACAATAAATACAACATTCCCGTTAATTTTGCCTTTAAATACATAAATATTTTAAATAAATAGTTTTTTAGAAAAATGTTTTAAAAAAAAATATAAATAAAAAAAATACGTGGTATCAGACAGCTTTAAAAGTATAAATTTGGTGACGTAGTCTTCGCGTATTACCACATCATGTTGCTCATTGAATTTATCTGACATAGCGGAAATAAAATAATGCAATATTTAAATACTTGCAATTAACTATTTTTTTTATCGATTAGAGCTATAAGCTAGACATAGCTTACCTGGTTCTTTCACTAAGTTTTTCAATTAATATAGCGAAAATAATTTTAATATTTTTAAATTTAATGTTATATGTTGTAATCTTCGGTGATCTTACATTATTGAAGGTAAGTAAATGTTGTTTTCTTGTGGTTCATCCCATTAGAATAAAGATAAAATGTTTTTAGCATCTCCTGGCATCATGCTATTGCTCACGACCGATTCATGATAGTTAAAATTTACCACTCTTAAGTGATTTTCTCGGGTACATATCCCTTTCGAGGGGTCGAAAAACACTTAATTCTAAATTATAGGTATTAAAACTGATTGGTGAAGTTTAGAAATCACTTAATATATCAATATGATATTTTATACCTATATTAAGATTATTTGGTACTTATTACATAACTCTTCAACATTACATATTTGTGAGTGGCAGCCAAACTAAAGCCGAATTTTTAAATAAAATTTATTAGAACTTCATAAGGATTTTGGAGAATGGCCATTTCTCCATCTGTCCTTAAAACGAATTTCTCATTAATCTTTCTTCCATGAACTTTGCCTTTTAGCACACGGCTTATTTTATATTATTTCAATGAATGCATATTACCAACATTAATTAAGCATCACTGTCGTCAATGATAGTAAGACGACTTCTAACGGTTCTTCGAGACAAATAAATATCTTTATTCCATTTCTTTAGAAGTTATACTTCTTATGCGACTTCCAACAAGGTTGCGTTAAGTTTATCCTCCTGTTTACTTTATGGTCTTGATACAAAATCAAAGGCAAAATTACATTTATATTTTATAAAACATAACGTATTCAAAATTATATTTTTAATAGAGTATAAAATCAACAGTTGGCAATTACTGTTTTGACTGAGCATTAGAAACAACTTAGTATTCTAAGACATTACAACTCCCAAGAAAAACAAAATAAAATAAAATAGAATCCATTTGTCTTTCAAAATATGCTTTTATTTCTTATCATTTGTGAAAACAAACATCTTCGAGATAGAAGTTATATTTTAAAAAGAAAATTAACCGAGAACAGCTCCGAAAGATTGACTTACAGCCGCAGCGGAATTACCAATAGAACTGAAGTCGATTTGACCAATATTGGAGGAACTCAATATGTGTATAAGGGTGGCCACCAGTTCCAGAAGAGCTTGTATAACTATATCAGCTTGAGATGCTCCGGCAGAAGAAGCGCTGACTTGTCCGACCAAGTTAGATACAACTGATTGCAAGGCACCAACATTCAATACCCCACCTGAAGCCAAACTGGAAGCAGCTGAACTGATTCTAGATTGAGATGCTCCAGAGTTAATTCGTGATACAGCGGAAGCACTAGATGCTGCACTAGCTCCTGCGGCACTTCCATATCCAGTTTGCACACCTTGGCTATAGCCTCCTGCAGCAGCCGAGGCGGCTGAACTGGAAGCAGCACCTCCTCCAGAAATGTAACTGGTTTGTACAGTTTGACCATAACCACCTGCTGCTGCACCTGCTCCAGCACCTAAAAGATCTTTTATTAGTTATGTTTATGCATTTATAAACTCTAAAATAAATAAATTTAAGTTTATCCATTTATTTGTATTTTTGTAGAAACCACCAATATTTTTAGGTAATACTTAACACTAGGTTTATGGGACGCGTCATTTTGACGCATTTCAAGTTTTGTAAGGAAAATTATAAAACCTGCTGGAATTTTTATTTCACCTCTTGTAATGACTTTTACCCATTCATCGAAGTAAGGCTATTGAAGGCTATTTTCTTCAAAAGCGTTGAAATATTGAAATTCTCTATGTGGCATTCCCATCTCTACGGATATGCGTCAATTTGACACGATCATAATTTAGACAAAATTTTGAGTAAACAAGCAATTATCACATCAATAATAAATAGGAATGTACCGACAATACTTCGATCTGATATCGTTTTCTCAAATGAAAAAAGCAATTAACAACTGCTGCCTATAATCAATAATAGAAAGAATAAACGCAAAATGTCAATTGATGTCAGAGTGTCAGATTTTGAAAGTGTCAGTTGCTTAGTTCGAGTATTGAAACATAAAATACAAGAATATTTCATAAATATAAATCTCATATCTTTATTTTTTTTATAGTATACAATTATATTGGTTTCTAAGTGAAAAGATGCCAACCTCTCCGGACATGCCAAAATAATTTTAAAAAAATGGTAAATAGCAACTAAGTAAATTTTGATAATTTAAAGTGGTGAATTATATCAGCTTACGAACTATTTAGAAATAGTGGTGGATAAAAATCTACTAAAATAAATTTATTAAATTAAGAATCAAAATTATATGTATTCTTTCATACGTCAAATTGACGCGTGTTCGTAGAGATAGGTATATAAGAAACGTCCGTAAGCCTAGTGATGTATTGGTTCATGCGTCAAATTGACGTGTGCTTGTAGAGATAGGTATATAAGAAATGTCCGTAAACCTAGTGTTAACTTGCAGATAGTTTTCCTTCTCTTTTGATGTTAACGTTCGCCTTCCAATGAGGCAGTTAACAAAGATATAAAAGAATGAAAATGATATCAGCTTTTACTTAAACCCGAAGGATACTCAGAAAAATGACATATCAGTATACAATCATTTCGGTTTCCAGCGCAGCAGCTGATATACATACAGCTACCGAGGTTTATCGTTTGCATACATCTGGAACACTGGAACATTCTACAAATTCAAAATCAGTGAACTACAACGATACAGGTGCTGCACACAGAAGACAAGATAGATTATCCGCAGCTTTAATAATTGCCACTATTATTTCATGACAGGCTATTTTTATTTAATTGTTCCTCTTGCGGTAAGTTGAATACATGGCCAATGAGGATAATATATCTGCGTATGTATCAATGTTTGCATCAGGATAATAAAGGCATCTGGATTCAACATCCATGAGAAAGATACATGAGTAAGGATTCATCAAATTCAAAACATTGATTTCCTTTTCAATTTTTTAAATCTGTGAGATTCCTATTCATTTCAAAAATTTTAAATTATGTATTAAATAACAACGCTCAAAGGTTTTTGATTAAAAGAAATGGATTTTTAACTTTATTCTAAATACAAAAAATTCCATAATTTATTACCTTTATTACTTACAACCGATTTAAAAATTGGACTTAATAGAGAATATAATTCACAATTTTCTGAAAAAAGGGAAAAATAGACTAATTTTCCTTTTAACTGAAAAGAATTATTTCTACATGTTTCCTTACAAATCTTGTCTTAGTTTGAAAACTCTGTTTAATGTTTGAACTTAGTTTCATGTTTGAACTTAACGACTCGACTGCGACTCGATTTCTTAAATGCTTCACTTCTCATATTTTAACAACAAGATTGCAACTTCATTTCTTAAATGTTTTGCTGCTTTTTTCTAAACAATTTGAATGCGATTCTATTTCTTAAATACTTCTTCTAAATGGAATAGTATACACAAAAGAGGAAAATATAATCGAAAGAGTAAGTGATCAGTAAAACCGGCCAACAAATACATTCGATAGCTGAGGACTGATAGTAACAGTTTGACTTCTTATGCATGTTTTAATTCATTTTAATTTATGAAACTGGATAAAAAAATATCCCAAACGTTAGCTCGATTCACGGTTTCGAATGAAAAAAACTATTAATTATAAATACTCCTATCAAAATAAATTTGAATGCAAGACTAAATGGCAAAACAAATTTGTGTAAACAAAGAAAAAATTAAGAAATGCGTATTCTTATTTTATTTAGACATTTCTTTTGCGCAGTCAGCTATGTGAGTTTAACATGAAAAGAAGAAAAGTTAGTCTACGAAACATTGATATTTGAGAATAATATATTTAATTCATAGAGTAAAAAGAGGAACAAAAAATTGAGATGCGAGTATTCATAAGGATCTCATATCTTAGAATATTTAAAATGGTATATTTAAAAATAGCATTAATACAAATGCAGATTCAAAAAAATATAAAGATCAAAAATTTTTAATTTCTTTGTGTATAGAAAGAAAAAAATCCTTGTAATATCCTAATACTATATAAAAATATCAAAACTTAAAATTTATAAAATGTCATATTTAAAAGTAATATTACAAATAATACAGTAAAAAAATATAAATTTAGATACTTCTTGAATTAATCGTCCAATTTTAATTAGAAAAATTACCTGCTGCAGCTCCGGCACCAGAACCATATCCTTGACCTGCTCCTTGTCCATAGCCTCCAGCAGATCCTGCTCCAGTTGCTGCTCCTGCACCGGCTCCTGATCCCGCACCAGCACCATATCCTTGACCTGCTCCTTGTCCATAACCTCCTGCTGCAGCAGCTGCTCCAGCACCGGCACCAGATCCTGCACCAGCACCATATCCTTGACCTGCTCCTTGTCCATAACCGCCCGCTGCTCCTGCTCCGGAAGCTGCTCCTGCACCGGCTCCAGAACCTGCACCATATCCTTGACCTGCTCCTTGTCCGTAACCACCCGCTGCTCCTGCTCCAGAACCTGCAGCGGAAGCTGCTCCTGCACCGGCTCCAGATCCTGCACCAGCACCATATCCTTGACCTGCTCCTTGTCCATAACCTCTAGCTGCTCCTGCACCTGCAGCGGCAGCTGCTCCTGCACCGGCTCCAGATCCTGCACCAGATCCATATCCTTGACCTGCTCCTTGTCCATAACCTCCTGCTGCTCCTGCTGCAGCAGCTGCTCCAGCACCGGCTCCAGATCCTGCACCAGTACCATATCCTTGACCTGCTCCTTGTCCATAACCACCTGCTGCTCCTGCTCCGGCACCTGCTGCGGAAGCTGCTCCTGCACCGGCTCCAGATCCTGCACCAGCACCATATCCTTGACCTGCTCCTCGTCCAAAACCACCCGCTGCTCCAGCTCCGGCACCTGCTGCGGAAGCTGCTCCTGCACCGGCTCCAGAACCTGCACCAGCACCATATCCTTGACCTGCTCCTTGTCCATAACCAGCACCTCTTCCTGCTCCGGCTCCTGATCCAGCACCTGCACCATATCCTTGACCTGCTCCTTGTCCATAGCCAGCACCACTTCCGGCCCCTGCACCTGCTCCAGCTGCTGCTGCTGCTCCTGCACCAGCACCAGATCCTGCTCCAGCTCCATATCCTTGACCAGCTCCTTGACCATAGCCAGCACCTCTTCCTGCTCCTGCTCCAGCTCCTGCACCAGCTCCAGATCCTGCAGCAGCTCCAGCACCAGATCCTGCTCCAGCTCCATAACCTTGACCAGCTCCTTGTCCATAGCCAGCACCACTTCCTGCTCCTGCACCAGCTCCAGCTGCTGCTCCTGCACCAGCTCCAGATCCTGCACCAGCACCATAACCTTGACCAGCACCTCTTCCTGCACCTGCTCCAGATCCTGCTCCAGCACCAGCACCAGATCCTGCTCCAGCTCCATATCCTTGACCAGCTCCCTGTCCAGAGCCAGCTCCTCTTCCTGCACCTGCTCCCGCTGCTGCTCCTGCACCAGCTCCAGATCCAGCGCCAGCACCATATCCTTGACCAGCTCCTTGTCCATAGCCAGCACCAGCTCCAGATCCTGCTCCGGCTCCAGATCCAGCACCTGCACCATATCCTTGACCTGCTCCTTGTCCATAGCCAGCACCACTTCCGGCCCCTGCACCAGATCCAGCTGCTGCTCCTGCACCAGCACCAGATCCTGTTCCAGCTCCATATCCTTGACCAGCTCCTTGTCCATAGCCAGCACCTCTTCCTGCACCAGCTCCAGCTCCTGCACCAGCTCCAGATCCTGCTGCCGCTCCAGCACCAGATCCTGCTCCAGATCCATATCCTTGACCAGCTCCTTGTCCATAGCCAGCACCACTTCCTGCTCCTGCACCTGCTGCTGCTCCTGCACCAGATCCTGCACCAGCAACATATCCTTGACCAGCTCCTTGTCCATAGCCAGCACCTCTTCCTGCACCAGCTCCAGCTCCTGCACCAGCTCCAGATCCTGCTGCCGCTCCAGCACCAGATCCTGCTCCAGATCCATATCCTTGACCAGCTCCTTGTCCATAGCCAGCACCACTTCCTGCTCCTGCACCTGCTGCTGCTCCTGCACCAGCTCCAGATCCTGCACCAGCACCATAACCTTGACCAGCACCTCTTCCTGCACCTGCTCCAGCACCAGCACCGGATCCTGCTCCAGCTCCATATCCTTGACCAGCTCCTTGTCCATAGCCAGCTCCACTTCCTGCACCTGCTCCCGCAGCTGCTCCTGCACCAGCTCCAGATCCAGCGCCAGCACCATATCCTTGACCAGCTCCTTGTCCATAGCCAGCTCCACTTCCTGCACCTGCTCCAGATCCTGCTGCAGCTCCAGCACCAGATCCTGCTCCAGCTCCATATCCTTGACCAGCTCCTTGTCCATAGCCAGCTCCACTTCCTGCACCTGCTCCTGCTGCTGCTCCTGCACCAGCTCCAGATCCAGCACCAGCTCCATATCCTTGACCAGCTCCTTGTCCATAACCAGCACCAGCTCCAGATCCTGCTCCGGCACCTGATCCAGCGCCTGCACCATATCCTTGACCTGCTCCTTGTCCATATCCAGCTCCACCTCCCGCACCTGCTCCAGATCCTCCAGCAGCTCCTGCACCAGCACCAGATCCTGAACCTGCTCCATATCCTTGACCTGCTCCTTGTCCGTAACCTCCTGCAGATCCTGCTCCTGCACCGGCTCCAGATCCTGCACCAGCACCAGATCCTCGACCAGCTCCTTGTCCATAGCCAGCACCACTTCCTGCTCCTGCACCGGCTCCAGATCCTGCTCCAGAACCATATCCTTGACCAGCTCCTTGTCCATAACCAGCTCCTCTTCCTGCACCTGCTCCTGCACCAGCTCCAGCTCCGGCTCCAGATCCTGCTCCAGCACCATATCCTTGACCTGCTCCTTGTCCATAACCACCAGCTGCTCCTGCTCCGGCGCCTGCTGCAGAAGTTGCTCCAGCACCAGCTCCAGATCCTGCTCCAGCGCCATATCCTTGACCTGATCCTTGTCCATAACCTCCTGCTGCTCCTGCTGCAGCTGCGGCTCCTGCACCAGCGCCAGATCCTGAACCTGCTCCATATCCTTGACCTGCTCCTTGTCCGTAACCTCCAGCAGATCCTGCTCCTGCTCCAGCTCCGGCTCCAGACCCTGCGCCAGCACCATATCCTTGACCTGATCCTTGTCCATAACCTCCTGCTGCTCCTGCACCTGCTCCAGATCCTGCTCCAGCACCATATCCTTGACCAGCTCCTTGTCCATAACCAGCACCGCCTCCTGCTCCAGATATTGCTCCTGCTCCCGCTCCAGATCCACCGGCAGCTCCTGCACCAGCGCCAGATCCTGAACCTGCTCCATATCCTTGACCTGCTCCTTGTCCGTAACCTCCTGCAGATCCTGCTCCTGCACCGACTCCAGATCCTGAACCAGCACCATATCCTTGACCTGCTCCTTGTCCATAGCCTCCAGCTGCTCCTGCTCCGGCTGCAGCTCCTGCACCGGCGCCTGATCCGCCACCAGCACCATATCCTTGAACTGCTCCTTGTCCATAACCTGCTGCTCCAGCTCCAGATCCTGCTCCAGCTCCATATCCTTGACCTGCTGCTTGTCCATAACCTCCTGCTCCTGCAGAGGCTGCAGCACTGCCTGCACTACCTGCTCTAGAAATTACATTTTCTGTTTGAGTAGTCGTAACTACATTTTGGATCTGTGAAATTTGGGATGATGATGCTCCACTGGCTGATGCAGTTCCAACTGAATATGCTCCAGCTGATCCAGAACCAGTACCGTAACCTTGTCCAGCTCCTTGTCCATAGCCAGCACCAGCTCCAGATCCTGCTCCGGCACCAGATCCAGCACCTGCACCATATCCTTGACCTGCTCCTTGTCCATAGCCAGCACCACTTCCTGCTCCTGCACCTGCTCCAGCTGCTGCTCCTGCACCAGCTCCAGATCCTGCGCCAGCACCATATCCTTGACCAGCTCCTTGTCCATAACCAGCACCTGCTCCAGATCCTGCTCCGGCTCCCGATCCAGCACCTGCACCATATCCTTGACCTGCTCCTTGTCCATAACCAGCACCTCTTCCTGCACCTGCTCCAGCTCCTGCACCTGCTCCTCCTGCAGCTGCTGCTCCCGCACCAGCACCGGATCCTGTACCAGCACCATATCCTTGACCAGCACCATATCCTTGACCAGCACCTGCTCCAGATCCTGCACCAGCTCCAGATCCAGCTCCGGCTCCAGATCCAGCACCTGCACCATATCCTTGACCTGATCCTTGTCCATACCCAGCACCACTTCCTGCTCCTGCACCTGCTCCAGCTGCGGCTCCTGCACTGGCCCCAGATCCGGAACCAGCACCATATCCTTGACCTGCTCCTTGTCCATATCCAGCTCCACTTCCTGCACCTGCTCCTGCTGCTGCTCCTGCACCAGCTCCAGATCCAGCGCCAGCACCATATCCTTGACCAGCTCCTTGTCCATAGCCAGCACCAGCTCCAGATCCTGCTCCTGCTCCAGATCCAGCACCTGCACCATATCCTTGACCTGCTCCTTGTCCATAGCCAGCACCACTTCCTGCTCCTGCTCCAGCTCCTGCACCAGCTCCAGATCCTGCTGCAGCTCCAGCACCAGATCCTGCTCCAGCTCCATATCCTTGACCAGCTCCTTGACCATAGCCTCCAGCTCCTCCTGCAATTGCTGCAGCTGCTGCTCCTGCACCAGCCCCTGATCCGGCACCAGCACCATATCCTTGGCCAGCTCCTTGTCCATAACCAGCACCTCCTCCTGCTCCAGCTCCTGCTCCTGCCCCAGATCCGGCACCAGCACCATATCCTTGACCAGCTCCTTGTCCATAACCAGCACCGCCTCCTGCACCTGCTCCAGATCCTCCAGCAGCTCCTGCACCAGCGCCAGATCCTGAGCCTGCTCCATATCCCTGACCAGCTCCTTGTCCGTAACCTCCTGCAGATCCTGCTCCTGATCCTGCACCAGCACCATATCCTTGACCTGCTCCTTGCCCATAGCCTCCAGCTGCTCCTGCTGCAGCTCCTGCACCGGCGCCTGATCCGGCAACAGCACCATATCCTTGGCCAGCTCCTTGTCCGTAACCAGCACCTCCACCTGCACCTGCTCCAGCTCCTGCTCCGGCTCCAGACCCTGCGCCAGCACCATATCCTTGACCTGATCCTTGTCCATAACCTCCTGCTGCTCCTGCACCTGCAGCAGCTGCGGCTCCTGCACCTGCTCCAGATCCTGCTCCCGCACCATATCCTTGACCAGCTCCTTGTCCATAACCAGCACCGCCTCCTGCTCCAGATCCTCCAGCAGCTCCTGCACCAGCGCCATATCCTGAACCTGCTCCATATCCTTGACCTGATCCTTGTCCGTAACCTCCTGCAGATCCTGCTCCTGCACCGGCTCCAGATCCTGCACCAGCACCATATCCTTGACCTGCTCCTTGTCCATAGCCTCCAGCTGCTCCTGCTCCGGCTGCAGCTCCCGCACCGGCGCCTGATCCGGCACCAGCACCATATCCTTGACCTGCTCCTTGTCCATAACCTGCTGCTGCTCCTGCTCCAGATCCTACTCCAGCGCCATATCCTTGACCTGCTGCTTGTCCATAACCTCCTGCAGAGGCTGCAGCACTGCCTGCACTACCTGCTCTGGAAATTACATTTTCTGTTTGAGTAGTCGTAACTACATTTTGGGTCTGTGAAATTTGGGATGATGCTGCTCCACTGGCTGATGCAGTTCCAACTGAATATGCTCCAGCTGATCCAGAATCAGTACCGTAACCTTGACCTGTTCCTTGACTGTAGCCTCCGGCTCCAGCCCCTGATCCAGATCCTGCACCATAACCTTGTCCTGCTCCTTGACCTGCTCCTTGACCATATCCTGCTGCTCCTGCACTCGCAGATGCTGCTGCTCCTGCGCTGGAGGACACTTCATTTTCTGCAGAAACTTGAGAAAACATTCTTACGAGACTTCCAATTTCGTTCAAAAAGGTCTGGTCAACTGCTCCAGTAGTTTGCAAGAAGGCTCCTCTTAATGCGTCTATGATTGCCTGGATCTTAACGCCATTGGGAACACCAATGTTTTCCGAAAAAGCTATTTCTGATACAGACGAAGCAAAGGCCATATTTAAAGCTTGCAATTTCGATCTTGAATTAGTAGGATTTCTTTCAATTGAGAGAATTATAGTGTCGCTAATTGAAGAAATGTCATCCATCTGAGATGAAGATAGAGTTCCAGATTGGGCCATGGCTGCGTTGAAGGCTCCAATGAAACCTTCCGCCAGCTGTGTGTTGTCCCATGGACTTGCAGCCTTCAGAGGTGATACACTCCAAAGGCAAAGAACAAGAAATAGAAGAGAAAATCGAGTAGGCAACATATTGATTATTAGTCAATCTTCAGCTGTTCTCAATCGAGTGATTTTGCTAGGCTGTTGGCTGTCTTTTTATACTGCTTTTTTCGTGACTTGTCGAAAAGGCAAGTCACGACAAAAAGGATTCCACCTGTTTTTTTATTGCGCAGTTGAACAAGACGCAGTTAAGTTCGTGATACTAAATGTTCCACCTGTTTTTCTAGAACGTAGGTTAGAAATTTTCACCTGTTCATGAATATGTAGTAATTCCTTGCTGCTTTTGCTTACTCAAATTTATTTAGCATTCCACATTTTTCCCGTTTAATTTTCTCATAAAATTTTCCTTACAATTACACCTTTACTCCTTTAATTACACCTTAATTAACCCTAATTAATTACACGTTTCTTAAATTGTGAAAAAAACATTTTTTTAAAAATTATTATTATTATAAATATTTTTTCGCTACCATTGCATATCAAATATTGACATTAAAGAAAAAGAAAATTCAAAACCAATTTTCATGCATTAAAATCATTTCAAGTTCGAAAGTATTAGCAAATTAGAATTATTTATAAACAGAAATCCTTCTTATCATTAGCAATCTATAGAGTAATTTATAAGAAAACTTTTGATGTAGTTGTCTATATTGAACAACGTTGATTTATTAGGATCTTGTAAGCTCCTACACAAAATAAGTTACACAAATGAATGAAAATTCCATAAATATTCTTCAATATTAGTATGCGATTGCATAGAAAACATAATTAGTGATAATAATTGTGAAATCAATTTAACAGTTCTAAAGATTAACAGGGCAATTTAACATTCAACACTAACAGTGCAAAGAGTCTTAACCAGGAAGCGTAAACAACAGCAGCTATAAAATAGTCAGAGTTGTAATCTCATTTATTTTCATGTTTAAACACGTCAAGTAATTAAAATGTACTAATCATAAATAATTTTTCGTTTTCTGCAGCAAAATTTTTAATTTTTTTATTTAATTAATTTTTATTTTTAATATGGATTTCTGCGGGACTTTTTTGAAAAATGTGGCAAAAATTACATTTACTTTTAAAATAGAAAACCCATTTTTTTAAAACTGTATGGATTTTACAAAATTTTACGCTCTTTTTATCAAAACAATTATATTTATTAATTATAAATTTTCATAATAAATTTTGAAATAAATTTTTTCACTCTAGGTGCTTATGTGTATTTTTAGACACTATAGTAGATAAAATATTTTTTAAATCCTCCCCCCTTATTGGAAGTTTGTAATATTTTTCGTTGTCATTAGGCAATAACATTAGACATAGAGCCTAGATACACAGTTGAGCTCACTAATAGCACGCATTTTTTTTTAAACTCGGATTTACTTTTAAATATTTATTACATTGCTAAATCCAAAGCAGTTCTCGAACAATTTGGAACCTGATATCTGAAAATAAGTCTATTACCGATGAAATTTAACAAATAGCTCGAAGTGGGAATTTTAACCATTAACTGAGCATTTTGGTAAGAATTACAAGCCACAGCAAACAGATGCAGAGATGCCGACTTGCACCGTTTCGTAAAATCCCATTTTCTACTGGTAACGAAATATAAGTTCTTTAGTTTATTATTTTTCATTATAATTAATTTTTCCACCACTACGTATCAGAAATTCTAAATATCGTACGAATACAATTTTATCTAGTGGTGTCATTCAGCCACCACACAGTCCGCTGAACACAAAAAGTTTTTACTACAACAGATAAAATCAAGATGGAAGCGATAGGGGCTGATGCTTGAACCAAGTGCCCAGTTAAGTCGAATAAAGAAGAAGTAGTGGTGACACTTTTAACCCTTTGACGGTTATGAACGAGTTCAGCTCGCAATCGAATCGTGCCTCATAATCCGCGCAAACAAGTTCCGCTCGGGAGCAAGATTTTGACCGTAATGGTTAGTAACGAGCACTACTCGCGTAGTAAAATTTTTCCCCAATGCCTGCTGACGGGCTGTGCTCGTTCACCATTATTATTCTGCATTGACTATGTTAAAAACGAAAAGTACGTAAAAACTGTTATTTATATGTACTACGAATACTTTAAGAAATTTTTAAAACACGTGAGGTGAGCTATCTACCGCATCCAGAGATGCCAACTTACTCCACTTTGTAAAATAGTATTTCCTAGTGATGGCGAAAGTCAAGTTACTTTCAGTTTAGCATTTCTCCTTTTAAGTAATTTTTTCACCAATAAATATCAAAAACTATAAGTAACATATAAAATTCACCGTTAAAACAACAATCTACTGGTTACTCTATTAAAAAGTAGGCGTATAACTGTCCTTCTCCAACGAAATTTACTACATAATTTGCTACCACTTTATTATAACAATTCCAGAAGACGGAGCAGTTGGCATCGCCAGAGAAGGGTGACATTTTCGGATGAACGGAGGTGGAAAACAGATGCCACTTTCGACTACTGTTTGCACGTAATACTGTGCGAATTAATGAAACGAAAACTGTTCATTTCCCTGACCGTCAAAGGGTTAAACAGTGGGCGTAAATATTCTTCAATTAATATGTTCAATTAATATGAATATGCGTAAATATATTCAATTTAGATGTCTATTTAGGTGAAACAGAGCGAAAAAAAATAAACAGACCAACTTGAAGGACTTTTGATCTAATGATCTGATCTGCACGTTCTAGGTAGATATGTACTTTATTTACGTCACACTAGAGCTGCACAATGGGCTATTGCTGACGGTCTGGGAAACATCCCTGAGGATGATCCAAAGACATACATTCGTAATTTTGATCCTCTGCAGAGGAGACGGCTATCCTGCTTTGGTAGCCAGACAACCTGTGTGCTAAGTCGAGCACTTAACGGTAGAACAGTTTAACGAGGACCGATACCGCTCACCCTCGGTCTCTACGCAGTCTGATCGAAGAAGTCGTTTCCCACTTACTGATCGCAGCCAGTGAGTTTAAGCCCAAAGTTTGAACCCCTTAAAGTTATTAATAATTTTCTGCGTACGTCGCCATATCTTGAGAAAATTTTAAGCGAATTGAAAAATTTTAGCACAAAATTATAAAATTCGCTTATCAAGGAGAGATTTTGTTTAAAAAATTAGTTTTAGAAAATAATCATTATTCTTAATTATTTTATTTACTAACAGTTTATAACATTTTGTATTATAAGGTATGCAATTTTTTTTATATCATTTTAAAAAATTTAATTTTACATGGCAAAATTCAAAATTTGGACGAAAAATACGACTCATTTGAAATTCGGTATAATTTTTAATATATATGAAATAATAAAAATGCAACATAAAAAATCGTTTACCACTTAAATCTGTTTACTCTATTAAACGAAAAATCCCTTATAGGAAAATAAATAGTAAAACAATAATAAATAAAAAAATTTACTAATTTTTAATCTTAATTTATAAAAACATCGAAAATAAAATTCTCTACAATTTTAAACGAACAAAATGGAATTATTTAAAACAATATTTTCAGAGAGTATGTATTTTTTGAAGTTTTATTAATTACAGTTGAATACAGAATGTTATGATTGATTTTTGTCTTGATGTAATTCGTTTGATATTGAATTATGCGTTTGATAAAACTAACGAAGTCTTATGTTAACAAATTTTGGGTAGCTTGAAAAATATGAGTTCCTAATGAATAATTAATTTAAAATCAAAAGATTAATTTTTGAAATAAAAAAGCGTCAATAAGATCGTAAAAAAATTGTAAAGATCTGTTATTGGCGTAATTCGAAAAAATCAGGCAGTCATTAAGGATTATAATTGACTGCAAATGGAAGCAATTGGTAATCAAAAAAGCTGATGCAACTTAAGCACTTAGGAATTCACAAAATAAACGAATTGTTTATTTGATAGAGAAAGTTTGTAATTAATTAGAAACGAAATGCTTCTTTTTTGCCTATCTTCTTTTTGAATATTTATGAAATTTTATAGGAACCATAATTCCGTTTCAATAAAATCTGCTGTGATTATTATTGAGATTTCGAACCGATCATTAAATTAATAAAAAAAATTTAAGGATTAATTATTTTTAAAAACTAGAGAATCATTAATGATTCTTGACTCCAAATAGAAGCAATTGTTAATTTAAGTTAACTAATGCAACTTAAACTCTTATGAACTCACGAAAATGAACGAAAAGTGTGCTTAATTAATAAAATTGATAATTAATTCGAAATGAAATGCTGCGCTTCTTTCTCTGTTTTCCATTTGAATATTTATGACGATTTCATGAGAAATATTATTCCGTTTCAGTTAAATCTGCATTGATTATCATTGAGATTGCGACCTGTCATCAGAAAAACACATTTAACGAGTTGCAGGTGTCACTTTTATCACCAAAACCGCAATAAAATCTATCGCTGTTGTCGATTTTATTGATGTATTTATCACGCTGGCTACTTTTATTGAAAATATTTTGTCAATTTTTCTCAGGTGCACATCGAAAGTTATGGATTTTTTCGAAAGCGTATGATGTTTCATTAATATTTAGTGTGGCTCATAAGATCATAAAGCAAGTTGAAATGCGATAAAAAGTGAATATCAATGGAAATATAAATTAATATATTCATGCAATCAGATAAAAAAATTGTTTTTCCTCATGGTTCTGTAGATTAAGCTGCTTTTTTATGTGTTCCTTGGGTAATTTATGAACACCCCGTAGAAATTCCATTTTTTTTCTGTCGCAAAAAAAAAGAGAGAAAAACATTTTCTTCATCCTACCTAAGCTATGAAAAATAACGCCAAAAAGCTTGTCTTTCAGACAGGTAAGTTTTCGTTCAAAACTACCAAGTAAGTTCTTCTGTAAGTAGTAATCAATTAATTTGATGTAAGTCGGGAAACTTTATATATTTAGCATAAAACGCGTGTTTAAGAAAATGGACATAGGTTAAAGAAGCGTGTTTGAGACATTGAACATGGCTCAAAATGCAGAGATATCAATTTACTTGGAGTAACGGATAATTATTTTCAGGGGGTTGTAATTTAATGTATGATTCTTGCCTTAGTAAATTCGATCTATGGACTTATTTCTCCCAACTACTAAATAAATCAT